TGGAGGCATCAACTTTTTTACAAGAAACTATTTGGTGCGGTTGAAGTTGAGCACATGACTGAGAATGAAAAAGGCTTTCCCTAACTGAGATATTGGTAGATCACCAACTTTAGCTTCATCATCAATGAGACTAATGACACGATTGGTAGCAGTACAATTTATTATCTCTCACTTTGCTTTCTTTTATTAGTCGAGGAAGCAAAGCAAGAGATAATAAATTCTACTGACCGAGTCATTAGTCTCATTGACAATGAAGCGGCCAATTTGCAAATCTCTCAAGTAGGGGAGATCTTGTTCAGTCTCAGTCATGCGTTCAACTTCATCCGCACCAAAAGTTTCTTGTAAAACCGATGGCTCCATTGGGTTGTTGGATTTATTTACCTGATGCGAACCGTACCTCTCTAGATCTAAATTTTTTTATGATATTATGATAGATTTTACATTTTTTATGATGTTTTGTGATAAATTTTCCTTGAAACGTGTACAACGACACTGAAGGTTCTAAGAGAGAGAACTTAAGTTCATTGTGAAGATGCGCTTATGGGCAATGCTTCACGAGAGAAACAAAGTTGTAATACGGGAGGTCCAAGTTGGAGGTGCTTACTTCATCAGAGACCGGCGCTGTTGCAAAATCATAAACTCCTTTGAGTTACCATGGTTCATTTACGTCTCAAATAGAGTTTGTAAATGGCTGGGTTTAGTTGGTTTGGCTGGGACGTAAATGAAGCATGAGAAGTCAAAGGAATCTATGATTTTGATGAAGCACCGCAAACTTGAACCTCTTATATCGCAACATTTTTCTTCTATGAAGCGTTGGCCCCAACCGCATCCAAGTCCAGGACCTGAACAAACTAAAGCTGTGCAAGATTGTTCAGGCAATGATAAAAAATGTAATGGAAGGAAAAAATGAAGGTGCTGACCACTCCAGTGAGGAAGATGCCATTGGTACAACGAGTGGAATTGGAGAAAGGGTGGGTAACATTCCATAAATACTCGGATGCACGTGTGTAACTATTTATTGGTATCAATGTATCATATTATCGTTTCCAGGAAATCTTTTCAAGACGAAAACCACATCCTGTGAGCCCTAGAATGTTTCTTGAGACTGTCTCCAAGGTAAAGTCACTTGATACACCAATTTAAATTGTAAGTTGCAACACATTCATTTCAAGTCATGTAGACCTCAGGACGTCTAATGACCCATAGGGTCAAGTTGGTTAATGTACTAATGTTCGAGGAAACCCTCGGAACATCTATTAGGTAAATTGGGATTGAGCCACTTTGATTAAAGCTGTCGTATATGCAGTAAACCTGTTTAGGCTAAATTCTGATTGATCCTGGTTTACGAAAAACAAAATTACGAAGACCTGCCAAGTTCAAGGAACAATCATAATTTACCCTAAACAGGTTTACTGCATATATGACAGCTTTGATCAGAGTGGCTCAATCCTATTTAACCTAATAGATGGTCTGAGGGTACAAAATATCTTTTGGATCAGAAACACCAAATATAGATATTGTCCTTGAACATTAGGACGTTACCTAGCTTGACCTTATGGGTCACAGACCCGAAATGAATGTTTTACAACTTACGATTTAAATCGGTGAATCAATTAACTCTTACCTTGGTGACAGTCTCAAGAAACATCCCAGGTGCAAAGGAAGTGGTTTTGAAAAAACATTTAGCGTATAACTTATTTCTTGAACGTACACTTGGTTTTATTTTATATAGTCTCGTTTTCTTAGCCGATAATGAACAAAAATTGTCACTCGCCCATGATACATGATACAAAGCGATGATCTATCCTCAACGGAAGTGAGTTCATTTAACATTTGCATTAGGTGAGAGTGCTGGTGGGAAAGTACAGGCATGCTTGGATTGTCGGCAGGGTGGAGGAGGCGGAGACGGTGTTGAGTGACGCAGAGATATTTATTGAAGTGTTTGCGAATGGTGGGAAGGAGGAAAGTTTGGTTCATGGAGAGAGTTTATGCCTGTTTGGGGTGATTGGAAAATTGTTCTTTCGTTTAATCTGGTCAATGCCGAACATTGCAGTTGGGTTTATGATTGGTATGGAATTCTTCATATGTTTTAACATAATTTGTTTGCATAAATGGTAATTTGTTGTTCTCTAATTGAAAAGAAAAATGGTAATTTGTTTGCATAAATGTTTTATAGAATATAAGCTTCAATAATCGTTCAATTTAAGGCCAAAAAATTTATCCTGGAGTATGTTCATCGTGCATTTGGTTAAAACTGCAGGGATTTTCAAGCAGTATGTGAGACGATGTTGGCCCCTATTATCAAGGCTACAAAACCTATAGCAAACGTAGTGTGGAAAGTCAGGTCATAGATATGTCTTGAATTTTTGGTATCAGACAATGTAAGTAGATGTTCATCTTATTACGTTGTGATATGAGTTTGGAGTTGTTCTCTTTGGGCAGGTGTTATACCATAGCCGAAGTCCTCATTGTCTTACTGGGATAATAATTTGGGCAGCTATATCTTTGGTACCAAGCATCTACCTTTCTTTAGCTTCGTAGCCTTCTACTTCTTATGATATGATTGTTAAGTAGATGAAGAATCATATTACTTTGTTACATGTTCTTCACATTCGTAATTTGTTGGTATATTTTTTACTTGTTTCGGTGGATGAGTTCTTTGGTTCTATATTGATGCTATTAGTCCAAGAGCCAAGATATATTTTCATTGTTTTCTGGGTTGATTAAGAAACTTACATCATGCATTAATAACTTGTATTCCTTGCCCATTCAATTTATACGAGCACGAAAGTAATAAGTAGTTAGCATGGAAGACCAACGTGAAGAAAAGCGTCTTGATCTTCACATTGCTAATTTGCTACAATTGAGTTGAGACCACGAAGCAAGCTCCATTGGTTGTATGTACATAGTTCTTCAATTAAGAATGATTAATATAAATAGATTAAATTACCAACGCAAGATATATTTTCATAATTTAGACATATATTGCAGCAAGAGTGTATTTCTCTTCCCTTTGTTGTCATGCCCCAATTTGACACTTGGTCATATGCGTGAAGCCTATCATATAGAGTCCTACAATTATCAATTTTCAGTTCCTTGGATGAACTAGCAAAGCCAATACTCTCACTTTAGCAAATTACAGTCTAATACATATGCAAACGCATAAAAATCACTGCAGATTGGTACGTTATCATCTTAATTTGCTCAATCCAAGTTCATCGTAACTAGATAGAGAGTTATTTTGCTAACTCTTATTACTTTTTCTTTTTGGTTTATAGTTACATTTTTGGATCTTGTTATATGCTTATTTTGAATATATGGTTTTATTGGCAAGACTTTGTTTCTAAAAGAACTAAAAATATCTCACGTACTCATCCATATCAAGGAGATATTTTAATTCCTTATAAATAAATCTTATCAATAAAACCGTACACTCAAAATCTATAGCCAACCCAGAAATAACACTATAAACCAAAAAGAAAAAGAAAACAAAGAGTTTTAATTCTCTATCTAACTACAAAGAATTTGGACTAAACAAACTGAGATGAAACCATACCGACATGTAGAGGGGCCGACCATCGGCTGATCCGACGCGGAAACCCTAACTCGACTACCCACGCGGAAACCTTAACTCAAATTAGCTTCAATGGCGCCGAGCTCCAGGACTGGTTATATACTGATCAACGCTTTCAGATATGGGTCCGTACACCAAGCTTGAGCACTTGGGCGATGAGATCCGAATATGAGTTGATTAATTAGTCTATAACCGGTGCATACTTTGGCCCTATCATTTGTCAAAATATCAGAGATCCATACGGCCACCACTGGGTGTTTGTCAGATAGAGGATCGAGAAGACGAAACACTCATGGTTTGGATCAGCCAGTTTCCGGCCCCTCTACATGTTGGTACGGTCTCATCTTAGTTGGTTCAATCCAGGTTCATCGTAGCTAGAACTAGAAATATAACTATAAACCAAAAAGAAAAATGAGTAAGAGTCTTAAGAGCTACATAACTCTCAATCTAGCTACACTAAACTTCGATTGAACCAACAAGATGAGACCGTTCCGACATGTAGAGGGGTCGGTCACCGACCGATCCAAACCATAAGTATTTTCATCTTCTGGGTCCTTTACCCGACAAACACCCAATAATAGCCATAAGGATCCCTGAAGTTTTAACAAATGATGGGACAAAGTATTCACCAGTGGTAGACTAATCAACTAGCTCGTTTCCGGATCTCACTGCCCGACCATTCAAGCTCGGTGTACGGACCCAGATCTAAACGTTGATTAGTTGATAAAGTGTCGGGAATGAGTTAAGATCCTGCGTGAGGTGGGTGAGGAAGAAGAATAAGAGAGCACAAGGACTAAAGCAGAAATGCAAAAGGTTGGGTGAGGCCATCTCCAACCGAGGGCTGGCTAGAGGGCTCGTTTTAGCCTTCTGGCCCTCCAAGATTCTCCAAGATATTAATATTTTAATGAATAGTACAGGGTCATATTTGCCTCCGTCTTCAATCGAGGGCCAGATGGCTCATTTTAGCCTTGCCACAAAAAACCGTCTCCAATCGAGGGCCAAAGGGCCATAGGGCCAAACATAATTTATTATTTAAAAACTACAACTTAAATTCAAATCCAACGGTTAAGTGACGTCAGCTAGCCGTTGGATTTGAATTTTTCTTTTGCTATAAATAGGGTGGATATTGGGCTATAATTCACACAACTTTGAATTCAATCTATTTCAACTCAAGTTTGAAATGAATTCCAACTTTGGATCCTCTTCGGATTCCGACTGGGGGTCCTCATCCAATTCCAAATTGGAAGCAAAATGGGCGCAAATGAGACAAGAAGATGAGGAGTCTGATCAAGAAGTTCAAGTAAGACGCAACAAACAAAACATAGCAGCAGCCATGGTTGTGGCCATGTTGTGTCAGCCAACTGAGGAACAACCTTAATGGGGTGGCTCTATTGTTGGTCGCTCTTACAAACCACGAAACAAAGCGATGTCGCATGCCAATCTGATGAACAACTACTTCAACCCCAACTCGGTGTACACAGAAGAGGATTTCAGACGTCGCTTCCGGATGAGGCGTCATGTCTCTGAGCGTTTACTTCGTGATGTCCAGCAAGTCAATCCATACTTTCGATAGAAGCAGGACAGAGCGGGCCACCCTGGTTTCTCACCTCATCAGAATGTTACTGTTGCACTTCGAATGATGGTCTATGGCTCCCCAACTGATTCGATGGATGAAACCCATGGTATGTTTGAGTCTTCATGCCTTGATACTCTTCAACAATTCTATGACATAATTGTTCAGGTTCACAAAGATGAGTACCTCCGCGAGCCAAATCAAGAAGATCTGAATTGGTTTATTTGCAAAGCTGAAGACCGTGGGTTTCAGGGCATAACAGGGTCATTAGACTGCATGCATTGGGATTGGAAGAACTGTCCCACCGAATGGCAAGGAAGCTTTAGTGGAAGGTCGAGAAAGCCAATTGTTGTGTTAAAGGCGGTTGCCTCATATGACACATGGATTTGACATGCTTTCTTTGGAGTCCCTGGATCCCAAAATGACATTACAATTCTTAGACGTTCACCCCTCTTCAATAACTTGACGGAAGGTAAAGCACCTCAACTTCACTACTACATCAACAACTGTCAATACAATATGGGGTATTACTTGGCAGATGACATCTACCCAAAGTGGGCAACACTTGTCCAAGCAATTTCAAACCCTAGGAATGATGCAAAAAAATTGTTTACCTTACACCAAGAGACATACCGGAAAGATGTTGAGAGAGCTTTCGGTATTCTACAAGCACGATGGAAGATTATTAACGAACCGGTAAGAGGGTGGAGTCGAGAAAATTTGGACTCCATCATGATGTCTTGCATCATATTACACAATATGATAGTGGAGGATAAGCGAGATGATTATATTGATGGAGAGTCCGATGACGACCAAGAAAATCCAAATAGGTCAAGAAGGGCTCTTGCAAAAATATATGATGGGCCTAATTTGCCTTTTTAATCCAAGAACTGGTAGTATCTCTATAAATGAGTACATGAGGCGTTATAGAATGATACATTCTCGTGCCACAAACAAGTACCTACAACATGATCTTGTTGCACATCTTTGGGCCAAAAGAAGTATGGAGTAGGCGTTTAAGTTTTATGTTGTTAAATGTTTTTTAAAATGTTTAAGTTTCATGTTGTTAAATGTTTTTTTTATGTTGTATAATTTGTATGTTGGTTAATGTTATTTAATGTTATTTCATATTGTTTAATGTTGTTTCATGTTACTTAATTTAATTTAATGTTGTATAATGGCTTGGGAAGTTATAGGAAAAAAAATATGAAACAAATTTTGTGAAATAGAAGTTATAGGATAAAAATAGAATTTAAAATAAAATAAAGCAAATTTTGTGAAATAGAAGTTATAGGAAAAAATGGAATTTAAAAAAAAAAATTGAAACAAATTTTGTAAAATAAAAGTTATAGGAAAAAATAGAATTAAAAAAAATATTAAAAATAGAAGTTATAGGAAAAATTTTGCACATAAAAAATAATAAAAAAACTATTAAAAAAAAAAATCAAATGCAACGGCTAGCTGACGTCAGCTAGCCGTTGCATTTGAATTTTTTTCTTAAGCATTCATGTCCGTTATAACCGACAGGAATACATTTATATTAAATAATATTTCTAGCCAGCCTTCTCCGATTTCGTGGGTCCTTATCAGATTCCAGAGCCCTCTGGCCTAGCCCTCAGTTGGAAACGGTTTTCGAGCTATTTTCGGCCCTGTGGCCCTCTGAACCCTTCGGTTGGAGATGGCCTGAGTTTTCACAAGGGGTAGGTGATTTATAGAAGTTGGGAGCCTTAACCGTTGCCCAGGAATTTGAGAGCATATTACAAATTGTGCCACTCGCGTGTCACACAATCGTCTCTTTGTTGTGTGTTTGGACTGTTGCCTGTTCAGATTTTTTATGAAAAAAAGATATTTTGAGAATAAATAATATTAATAGAGAAATCATCTTTAATATCTTGTTGCATCCCATTTGCATGATTATGATCTTTTAATTGCCAACATTTGTTCATATTATGGCCAATTACACCACAATGTTCGCAAGTTCGGAGCAAATTCTCAAAAATATTATCAACAGAGAAATCATGTTACTTATGCTCAACCATAATAGATGAGGCAAATCAGCAGAGAAATCCACATCCACCATAATTCTAGCATAGTAGTCATATAACTTATCTATGTGTATAGCATGATTTAACTAAAGTCGAATACCCACAATATAAGCAATTTCCATAAAAATGTGTGAATGCCAATATTTTTAAAAGAAAAATAATGAAAATAGTTTAAAAACTTTGAGTTTTAACGATAAAAACAAAATAAAGGGTAAAGCGAATAGTAACAGATTTGACTTTTTAGTGTAAAAATGTGGTTTTTTGTTAAAGTGAACAGTACCGCGGGCTTTTCGTTAAAACTCCATATTTTTAACTCATATATTTTGATCTAGACATGTGCATACGTTTGGGGAAGGATGTCATCGGAATTGAAATATGGTTGCCATCGAGACAACCCAAAAATACCAAATTGAAGTGTTCATGTTCCACCACCCCCACATTCTTCTCATGTCTTCTTGGTGAAAATGTGCAGACCAAAATATCCTTGCCTAGTGGTACCAGTCACCAAGGGTTGTGAAGCTTCCATAAAGAAGCCAAAACACTCTTGAAAGACTCAGTCTTTGTTCGGAATGAGCGTAGTTGGCCTCGATAAATATCTTCACTAATCTTGAAATAAATCACATCTCCCCGAACGGTAAAAGCAGGAAGTTCACTTAAATTAACTAGACTTTGTACACCATCTATGACAATGGCAGCAAAAGTCCGTGCTTTTGGAGATTGTCCGGATGATTGCCGCCGCCGGTGATTAATTTGGAAGGAATAGCAGAGAAGTCGAGGAAGCCCTATAGACATAGACCAGTCGGTTGACTAGTCCATGAAAGCCAAGAGCAATCAGAACAAAATTCATTCCAAATTAACAAATGAAAAATTAAGTAATATAAAGTTGTAACCTTTTCATAAATGCTGCAGCAAGTTTGAAGTCCTCCGATCCCCAAAAGCCTGCACACCGTTCTTTCGCCAATAAAAAAAGACGAAGCAGTGGATAGATGTGGATAGATGCGATAAGTTCAATCTCAACCAGCAACGGAGGCCCAACCACAATCAAATGTTGCAGAGCACCGACATGTTTCCGAGTTTTTCATACCCAGCTGCACAATCTGTAAGCCCAGCCATTCTCTCTCTACCCTCTTTTCCCTCCCACCACAGCAAACTTCCCCAATCTCAGCTTCAGCCAAAGCAACCCAATAAGAAGATGCAGCGGCACACGCTGCGGTGGTGGTGCGGCTCCTGTGAGGTAGGCGGCGGCTATCCAGATGACGGATTGGGCGTGAAAGGCAAGAACGGAACTGTCCGAGAGCAAGGCAGCTCAAAATTGGAGCCTGCCCAATATGAAGCTCTTCTCAAAGGCTGTGAGCAACAATTTCCGTTCTTGAAGAGATGATCGTGCTTGTAAGTTTCTCTCTCCCTCTCTCTCTATTTTTCATTCTCTGTCGATTGATTGCTGAGAAAGTGGTAGATAATTTGGTATAAGGCTTAGTTGAGTTAAATTTTGAATTAGAAATGCGAAATTCATATTATTTGCATCATGAATGATGATGATGTATATTACTATGTAATAACTAGTTGGCGAATTTTGAGGAATTTGGATTATGCAGCTGTTTATCTATTTGTGCCCTTCGTCCGAATGTTACGACCCAACTGATGCTCCGTTTTACTGATAGTGAACTTTGTAGATTGATTGCTGAGCATTGGGAGACGAGGAAATGATAGATTATTTGGTATAAGGTTTGGTTGAGCCAGGTGTTGCATTGAAAGTGAAATTTGTATGATTTGCATCATTGAGATGATATGTATTACTGTATAAAGCTACATTGTTGGTTAATCTTTCGTGATTGGATTAGTATGCTTATATCTCTTTGTGCTCGTGGTTTCGACATCGTGAAATGACTCAGTGTTCAAACTACTGATTTTTGTACATATACAGCTGGAGGATATGAACGTGGATGATGCATCAGAAGAGGTGGCAGTGGAAATAGCTGCACAAGGGGTCCTAAGGAAGAGAGTCGATGAGATGGAGGCTGGTTTCATGATGGCTCTAGATTACATGATGCAACTCACTGACAGTGACCAAGATGACAGCGTTGCCACCTTCATTTCAGGTTTACACATACCCTAACTTCAATATGGATCTGGACTACCCTAATGGAACTTCGATTGATCTGATATGATTGAGCGATGAGCACACACTGACCTTTAAATTGTATCAAGTTTTAAATGACACCACATTCTATCGTTTCCGTACATTTTTCACATCACCTTTGATATGGTTTTTTGCACAATATTATTGTTCCGAAATTTGTTTGTATATGTACCTTCATCTGATGATGCATGTTTTGTAGTTCCCTTTTTATTGGTTCTGTAATATCATGTGCTAAGAATGTTCAATGATGCATTTTATTTTTGTGGGGAAGAGGGTGGGATAGAGGAGATTGTGTTTTACATCATAGAGTTTGTTTAATACCATCACTGAGATTTCACCCTCAGAACTTGCTGCCACTTCTTCTAATAGTATTACTTTAATGAAATTTTACGTCACTTCGTAAAAAATATAATCAGCAGATTTCCCTCTCTTTGGGGCTGTGTTCTGTCATTTGGTTTACTAGGGATTGTTGGAACTCCTAAAATGTTAAAACGAGGAAATAGTACTTTTAACTTACAAAACTATAGTGCTTGTATATGTAATGATATTCAGTAGCACTGACCGTGGTCTTTTCATGCTTTTATGCATTATTATTTTCATGAAGTTTGAATTTGTACTTCCTGTCATTTAGTAATAATTGAACCTAATATAAAAGCTTATTTTCATCTTTGGAAGACAATGGAAACTCGGCCTGTAGTTCCAGATCAAAAACTGCTTGCAAGACTTGTTTGGTCAGAGAGGAAGCTCGGAATATTATGGGAGATGGATACTAGACAAGAGAAATGATCGTGGATTTAACATTCTTCCAGAATCTGAGGTCTGTATCTGCATTATAAAAAGACTACAGGATACCCATTTTGGTTTTTTAGTGGCATGTATCTGTTCTTGCCAATGATATATATCAACTATTCTTTACTATACTATGGAAAAATTGTATTTTTAGATAAAATCCCAGTCAGTGTAGGTGAACTTCTTAACCAAACTGGTGGCTTGAATCTGGGGAAGACTGTCCAGGCGATGATAAAAAATGTAATGGAAGGAAAAAATGAAAGTGCTGACCACTCTAGCAGTGATGACGAAGATGCCACTCAACTGAGGGCAGCCATAGTTTATTTGCTCGAGTCTTTTCCCCTTCCTTGTTGCACAGAAATGGCTATAACAGAGTTTCTGTTATTTGTATTGCATCATCGTTTCCAAGAAAGTGT